GCCGGGCCGGTCTGCAGGGCGGGGGGCTGGCCGGCGGCGGCTCTGCCAGCAGGGGCCTCTCCCCGCTGCAGGGGAGGGGGACTCCTGGAACAAATCATTGCCAGATAGATTAGCGCTTACGTGCCGTGATTCCATGCCCTGAATACCCTCGTACGTGCGTGGTTAGTTGATCTCAAGAGAACTTGAGGTCCCTTGAAGTGACAGAGTAGTGGGGTGGTCTGTGCAAGTTTCATGGAAGGCTGCATACCTGGGTTCTAAAGTGTGAGAGTAGGCGGACAGAGGAAAAGTTAAAACAAGTTATTAATCATAGCAAAAGCTCGGAAACTCTGGGTCCTGACTCGGATTAAGTGGAACTGACACATTTTTCTTTGTTCTTTTTTCTGGTCTTTCAGAGCTGATATTGCACTGATTGGACTGGCTGTCATGGGCCAGAACTTGATTTTGAACATGAATGACCACGGCTTTGTGGTAAGTCACAAGGGACACACTCTTTTACGGGATCTTGGTGTACATTAGCCTGAGTACTGGTGATTGACCTGTGATTTCAAAGATCCCATATAACAAAAAACATACTTTTCTTTATATCTGCTCTGTTGCTGCTTATGACGTTTTTTTGCCGAGGAAGGAGAAGCACCACTTCACGTGTGGGTTGGGACAGCCAATTTCATAATTCTGTGAGGAAGAGTGCTGTTAAACACCCTTGTCAGTTCTGTAAGGTTTGCAGCCTGAATAAGCCCATCAGTATTTGAGGAGGAGAAATCCTGCTGGGTGTGTGGAGCTCTAACTTTATCTCGTAATGAGAGCTGAGGATACTGAAAAGTTTGCATATAAATATGCAAATAATATTGCATATAAATATGTGGACACAAGGGTTATCAGTGGCAAAAGATACGAGTCTGGAACCAGCTGGTTCCTAGATTTGAGTTCTAACCCGCTGGTGACAGACTCGTGCCTGGTGTGCCAGGGTAGTTGACCTTAGCTTAGATGTAGTTCCCTGCCATTTCATCTACTAAACTTAACTTTAGAGTGGTTGATCAGAACTTGGGTAGAGCAAGGCAAAGGCAGAGGCAACCTCCCCAAAACCTTGGGCTGAAGAGAAATTTCATTGTCACGTAGTCCACAGTCTGAAGGTCTTGAATGTCGTGGATCCCCTAATCGGCTTTCTGTCCTTTTAGGTCTGTGCTTTTAATAGGACGGTCTCCAAAGTTGATGACTTCTTGGCCAATGAGGCGAAGGGAACCAAGGTGGTTGGTGCTCACTCCTTGGAGGAAATGGTCTCGAAGCTGAAGAAGCCTCGGCGGGTCATACTGCTTGTGAAGGCTGGTCAGGCTGTTGACGATTTCGTTGAAAAGTTGGTGAGGTCATCTCTGCTCCCAGCTGCTGCTCATGTGACAAAACTTTCCACATTTTTTCCTTTAGCTGTTTCACTTCTTTTTACTTAAGAAATTTTTTTCTCCCTTCAGCTTCTGAGTATGAACTGCCCAGTTCTGATAAAAATAATTGCTTAATTGGTACTAATTAAGTAACAGCATATCCTCCGGTGGTAATAATTCTTTATATATAAAATTCTGAGGACACCGAGAGACATTTCAAGAAGAATGCATTAGAAACAACACAGTCATGCACCAGTCAGCGATGGGCACATTCTGAGAAGTGCATCACTGGAAGATGGTGTGGCCTCTGGCACGCCTGGGCCGTACAGGGTAGCCTGCTGCTCCTGCTGCAGCCTGTACAGCTTGTTAGTGCACAAAACAACACGAGATCAAGTCGTTGAGAGACAGTGATGCCGTCAAGAGATGCGAGATGTGTGAGGCTGCCGGCATGACACGGCACACTGTTTTACGGCAAATTTTTTTTAAATCAGATCAGTACACGCTAACGATAAATAGTACGGTACAGTAAATACGCAAACCAGTAACAGTCATTTATCATTATTAAGTGTGATGTACTGTACATAATTGTACGTGCTACGCTTTTATACGACTGGCAGCGCAGACTTGTTTACACCAGCATCACCGCAAACACTTCACGAGTCGCACTGTGACGTCACGCTGGCTGCCACCTCACCAGGCGCTAGGAATTTTTCAGCTCCGTTGTATTCTTATGGGAGCCCCGTAGAACAAGTGGTCCAGCTTCGTCCGAAACATCGTAATGCAGCGCATCTCTAGGAATCTTAGTGGGTTCTGTCTTTGATCTTCAAAACAGCTTAATTTTGATTGTATATTATGATCATTTAGTGCTATTCACTAATAACCTTAGTGTCCAAATTTAGAAATAGATTTCATTTTTCTCCGTGTTCCTGTAAGGCAACAATTCCCAAATCATTGTATAATTTAATATAAATAATGAGAGATCTTCTCAGGGAGCCCTAGCAGCTACACACTGGGTACTTATTTTTGTACCAGTTTTTAGCTTTAGCAAAGATATGTTTTTTGGAGGAAAACCAGTATGGACCGCGATGGCCCTGCCGGGTGCCCTGGTGCTGAGTCTCCTAGAGCGTCTCTGGGAGGCAGGCCTCAGTTGCCATTCTGGTCCCCGATCGTCGGCCCATGTGGGGTGGGCGTCATGTAGGGGCTGCTCGTGGTTCTTTAACCACAGTCAAGTGTAGTCTGATGCCTCGCCGAGGCTTTCCTCCCCATCCCTCTACCCCCAAGACTAGGGGACAGTGGGCCCATCGCCATTCTGTCTCACACTTACCTGTCGGCCATCCTTTCCCAAACTTGTTCCCACCGAAGGACGCATGGCCACTCGCCCACTGGGATGGCTTGGCAGAGGAGCCACCGGTGGGGATAACAGCAGCTCTTACCTGTTCCGGTAGTTTCCGGGAGGTGTTTGGGCCCCTTCCCTCAGCCTGTCTAGGAAGAGGACTGTACTCGCTGCAGGGGGATTCCTCACCTCATGGCCAGTGCCCTGCAGCCTCAGGGTGCTCGTCCCTCCAAAAAAATCATGCACATGGGTGAAGGGGAGCCAGTGGAAATCATTTCTTTAGATACTTAACGAGTACAGTCACAGCTCTGAAAACCGAGGCGCTGGCCATTTGGAAGGAATGTTTTCTTGTGAGAAATGTAGTGACAAACAAAGGCAGGGGACGAACATTTCGAGCAGTGTTAACACGGGTTGTTTCTGCAGGAAATTTGTAATCAGTGTGCTACCATTTTTAAGAAAAAAATGACCTAGAAAGGAAGAACATGATAGAAGACATAGTAAGCTTTTTGTGTAGCCAGCTCTCAGGCCGCCTATGATTAACTAGAGACAAGATGGACTGGAAAAAGGTAGATTGTTCTTCAGCGTAGGAAAATATTAAGTGCTGTGAACTGAAACCTTGTGAGGGGCACGGAGCAAGAAATGATAAAGCAGTCCGACTGGCACAACACAGGGAGATGTTCAAGGCCTGTTTGGGAATATAAACCAGGCAGGTGGTACGCGTGGGAAATGCAGAATTTTCCAAGTACGTTTTGTTTGTGGTAAAATCTTAGTTAAGAGGAATCTCAGTTGTGGAGAGTTCTGACTGGGTTTGCTAGGCTGATCTTGTAAATAGGGTCTAGCTCTAGTCACAGAGGATTATTGAAAATTCAGTAATACATACTTTTAGACTAGGTTTTTCTGGGATGAATTCTCGTTTGTTTTAATTGGCCGAGGTATGTTTTACTTTTGTCTTTCACATGTCTGGGCCACTTTAATGCTGATATCTGGTTATAGGTTCCATTGTTGGACACCGGCGACATCATCATTGATGGAGGAAATTCTGAATACAGGGATACCACAGTAAGTATTCTTCAGTCCAAATTTTTCTGTGTTCTGAGAACATTCTAGAAAAAGGTGTCAGCCTTGCACACGTGACAGGAGAGTGGCCTGTCCCTCCGCCGTGCTGACTTGGGGACTGGAGCTGGTGCGGCAGCTCCCACAGTTTCTGCGGAGACATATTTGAAGGGCGAGGGGCTCATCAGTCACACGTAATTCAAAAGGACGACCGCCACTTAAACAGCACAGGCTGAGTGCGTAGGCGTGACTCTTCCTTCTTCCCTGCCAGCCCACGGTGCCTCAGCGTCCGACGGGGCCAAGGGCAGCTGCGCCGGTGGCCCTGTGTGCTGGGAAAAGTCCCTGCAGGGCCCGAAGCGCCGCGCAGTGGCCGTCGTGCTTGTATTAAACCAACTTTTCGTTGCATGATCTTGCAAGGTCCTTTCCAGTGAAATGAGAATGTTCGTTTGGCTTTATGACTTCCCTTGGGGACAGGGACAGGATTGCTATCTTAAACTTCCGTGGGTTTTTTTTAACTCCCAAACTGAGGAGTTTGGATTTCTTTAATGATCAGGTTATGCTCGGATTCTTGCTTCGTTTCCTGTCAGATGTGGGCTCTTCATACCTGTCCCTCTTACTCTCATTCATTGGGAGAAACTTACTTTATAAAAGCATCATGAAATTATTTTTCCTCTCACACAGAGACGATGTCGAGACCTCAAGGCCAAGGGAATCCTGTTTGTGGGGAGCGGAGTTAGTGGTGGAGAGGACGGGGCCCGGTATGGCCCATCCCTTATGCCAGGAGGGAACAAGGAAGCCTGGTGAGTACCAGAACCCGGCCCCATTTCCACATGAGGGAGCCTGCACGTGGAGGATGAGTGAGCCGTGAGCAGTGCTGCCCCCCCTGACTTCCGGGACGACAGAGTGTTGGAGACGCGAGATGCTGGAAATATTTTGCCTATGCGTTTTGTTGCTTTGATATAATATATGTGCATATTCCTCTTTCGCCTTTTTTTTCCTGTTATTCCCACCAAGACGGATAATGGAAGTTCTAAATAGGCTTAAAGGGTTCGGGGACTTTGAGGAAGCAGTTCAGACGATGTCCTGTGCGCTGTCTGGATGGAGGAGTGAGGTCTGCCCCTTTAACTGATGTCTAGTCTTAAAATAACTTGACTTAATAATAGTGAGTAATGGAAAAATCTGATGGGGCCTCTTTTGTCCCTAGGAATAGGGGGGAGGGATTTTTATTTGACTTGGGAAAAAACAAATTTTACACCGTTCACGGTGCTATGCATAAGGGGAAGCGTTGGCCATAGAAGGGGAAGTTGTAAAGGAAGATGATATAAAGACTCTGGATGGGGGCGGTGAGTGGGATGGAGAATCAAAATGGAAAGATTCAAGTAATTCATCATATGTGACCGAGGAGAAACAGCGTTGCAGAGACTGCAGTAAAAGAGAAAGCCAGACAGGGAGATGGAGCAGAAGTTTAAGAAACAGGAAAGGACCCGTTTGAGGGAGACGTGGAAAGGAAACATTCTTTTCTAAATTAGTTATAATTTGACTTCTAAACATGCTAGAATTTTAGAAGGCATTAAAGTAAGGAGTGATCAAACCTAATTCCCAAAGGTGAAAGGTTTACTGGGGAAGACTATTCTTTAAATTACCTCTCTGATGAGTCAGTCTAGGGTTCTCTTCAGTACGTTAAATCTAGAGGTAGAGCCCTTGCTTCTCAGAAACTTAAAGGTCTTTATCTCAGAGTACTTGCCCGCGGGCTCTTAGAAATGCACACAGAACACAGACTGCACATGAGAATGTTTGATGTGCATGGTGCTCCAGCTGCTTATTCATTCACTTTTCTCATGTGGTCTGGTGGAAGTGGAAATGGCATTTTACCCGAAACACTCCATAAAAGTTCAGGGAAATTCTAAAGCTGACAATGTAGGTGTCTTAGCCCCCTGATCCTAAGCGTTGGTTAACTTTACAGCCCTGTCAGGTTTTGTATCTGTACCAAAAACTTGGTGAAGAGGCCTTCACTGGTCATAGTGAGGAGAACGGTAGGGAAAAAGCATCAGGAGTTAAATAACATCCTCCTCCTCGGGGGCTGTGGGAGCGACGAACAGCTGCTTTTTCTGTGAATGCTGATGATGTAGCTCTTGGAAACATGCACGGTTCTCTCTGGAATGGAGCTGTACTTGATAACATCCATCCTAATAGTCGGGTCCCTGCAGGAACTTTCGTGTTGCTCACTGTGGGGACCACAGCCTTCTTTGACAGCGCAGTAGACATTTCTTCCGGAGCTTCGGCGAAGCTTCCGCCCCGCCCCTCTTTGTCTCTCCGCTCATATCCGGTAGTCTGCAGCTTCTGACCCGTTCACCTGGAGGACTAGACACTTCATTACTTTTTTGTGGGCATTGCCACCCCCATTAGAAAGAAAAAAAATTAGCATGGGTGGGGGTCCGTGGGTGTTTGAGGTCTCAGCGGCTAAACTCTGCGGTTCCTTTCCACAGGCCCCACATCAAGACAATCTTCCAGGGCATCGCTGCGAAAGTGGGGACTGGAGAACCCTGCTGTGACTGGGCAAGTGCTGGGCCCCTCTGCAGAGCCAGCTGGCAACATGGCCGTGGACCTGAGCAAGTGCACAGGACCGGTTGGCTTTGTGACATTAGCATCTCAATCCTTAAGTCGCTAGCACAGCTGAGGCGTAAAATGCGTGCTTATGGTACACATCCTTGTACCCTAATTGACTGTGCATAGCCTTGAGGTTGGTCCTAAAGGTAGTCTTCCTCAAATCATAAAAGATGGAGTCCTTAAAAAGGAACAGGAAGGATGAGGTGGAATAAGATTATTTTAAGCCATGTTTTTTCATGGCTAAAGAAAGAATTTTTTTTTTGCCTGCCTTGGTAGGGACTCTGCTGGAACAGGGTAAGCTGTGGCCTTTGCCCTGAACATAAACATGGCTAGGCTCATTCACACACACCTCCCCTTCCTGTATTTTGTGTTGCCACGAAAATAGCTTTATCCCTAACACAGCCTCAGTCCATACTGTGGATGAAAAAACCGTAGGCTTCGGAGACCTCACTTGTAATTCTGGCTTTCCGTTAATGCACTGGGTGACGTCAGGCAAGTCGCTTTCCCGACGTGGACTTCAGCTTTCTTACCTATAAAATACAGGACTTGGACCGAATGATCTCCAAGATCTCTTTAGCTGCTAATCCCCTTTCATTTTATATAAGCATTTGTATGTGCTATTTTTATTATACTTTATATGAGATAAAAAGTAGAGAAGAAACAAGAATGAGGCATATGAGGGGTGAGGGAGTCGTCCCTCCTGGGTCTCACAGTGCTGGGTGACGTCAGCAGTAGCAGCCGAACTGGTCGTTGACTTTAATCGTACTCCACTTGGGGTAAAGAGGGGCCAGTGCTGTGATTTCGAGCGTTGAGTCATTTTCTCGTCCGTATGAAAGATCGGGAGGGGAACTTTCATTCCTTGACAGTAGAGTACCTTCAGTAAAAGCACGATGATGGTAACTTATTAGATACGCTTAGGACAAAATTATGAGCCCAAAATCAGCACGTGCCTTACGAGTCTCGATCAGGTCAGGTTCACTTTCCGTAACCTTGAGGCTTCGTCTCAGGTTATCAGAAAACCTGATATTCATAAGCAGAGCAGGCTCTCCTTAGTTCATTTTTGAAGTTACAGGAAGGAAGGGGAGGAGTAAGATGTCGTTAGCTATGTTACTTCATGGCCAAAGAAAGTGTCAAAATCAGAGGGGGTAGGTCAGCAGTGGAAACGGACAGAGGAAGTCTCTGGTGTCAGTGTCTACACTATCAGTTTGAACAGTGGCTGCCAAGAGAGACTGCTCAGGCCAGCCACACATCTGGTCCCCGCTGGGCTGGTAGATCCTGTCATGAGATGGGTGCACATGACAGGTGTCATTAAATTTTTGACCCCTGTCACTCCCTTTGTACTGATTCCTTGCCCACGAACAATAATTGGGCTTCCTAAGTAGCTTGTCTATAGGGACAGAATTTGTTGATCAGACTGATACTTGTAGCCACTCAGATCCGTAGTTAAATTTCTCATCATAAACTTATAAACTGTATTCTGATTTTATACATCTTGCCAGCTTTATTAGAAAGCAGTATCTTGTCCACCATGAGACTCTGACAAGAACGCATTTCTGGGCTTTCAAGGTTGAGGGCCAGACCTGGGACCTGAGGTCATTTCATCTCTCAGCCATTAAAAACAACTACAGTACATTTGTGCTTTTAAAGTTCAAGATATTTAATCACACAACATTGTAATCTCTAGTTGCCAGAAAAGTGGTAACTTCAGGAAAAATAATTCTTTTACTTGTGAGTAGGGAATAGTTCTTTTGAATAACAGTGCTAAAGTATGGAAAATATAGGCTAAGGAACCATGGGTACTTAGAGTAAATTTGGGGATTTTGAAACATCTTTAGAGGAATGAATTTGTAGTTTTAAATAACCTTGGACTGAATCGAAGCTTGTTTTGAATTGTTATATAGTGATTCTTATTTTGAAACTACTGATATTTGCTTTACACTTGTTATTTTCTGTATGAAGAGGGACCTTTGCCAAAGAATTTGATATGGGTTTTTCTGGTGTGTTATCTGCTTCTCTGACGGCCTCTTGGGACTTGTCGCTCCAACAGGTGGGAGACGAGGGAGCAGGACACTTTGTGAAGATGGTGCACAATGGGATAGAGTATGGCGACATGCAGCTCATCTGTGAGGCTTATCACCTGATGAAAGACGTTCTGGGCATGGAGCATAATGAGATGGCGAAGGTGAGCTCTGGGCGTCACTGCAGAGATCACGCCCAGATGAGAAAGAGTTCGCTCGTGCCAGGACCTCCTTCCTCATTCTTTTTCCTTTGGTCATCCTGGTGGCCTGGTTGGACTCAGCCTAATTTAAGGGAAGCTGTCAGTAAAAGGGCTATAAAATATGATAGCTGGTCACTAAGCCAGAAGTTCCCAAAGCCTGATCACCATTTGTGATCTTCACTGTGTGTCAGGCCCTGTGTCCCTTTGCGCACGTCGTCCCATTCGATCCTCCCATTGTCCATGTGGGAGGTGCAATAGAGGCTTTCTTTTCTGATCAGACCGACACTGGCTTTTGACAGTTAGCATTTCCCCCAACATTTTATTATGAAAATGTTCAAACGTGCAGCAGCATTGAAAGAATTGGACAGTGAACACGCGTATGCACACTACTTAGATACACCGTGAACATTTGACTGTACCTGCTTTCGAATATCTGTCCATCCTTCCTTCAGTTTTCTCTTTTTATGCACATTTCAAAGTAAACTGCAGACATCAGTATTCTTTTCTGTAAATGCTTCGGTATTATTAGTTAGGTAAACATTTATTTTAACTGAAAATATAGCGATATGCATTCATTCACCAGTCAAGTCCTTTTCTTTAAATATAGTCTCGTTAGCATTCTAGCTGTCTTTCTTTTCATCTGGAATTTCTGGTGTCAGTTATTTCAAGGGGAACATGATCTAAAGACACTTAGTTGCAAGGTACACTGCAGAGTCCTAGAATTTTTACATTTTTTCCTCGTAATTTGTGCCGTCCCCACTTACTTTGTTTCACTGACTTGCCCTTGTCGTTCTTTCCAAAACAATTTGACTCAGTTTTCACAGAAATAGTGCTCTTCTTTTTGTGTTTCTATTTAATTGGTTTCCATAATATTTAATATGTTCACTCAGTATATGTATACGAGTGCCTTACTGTTTGCCAGGCTCTGTTCTAAATGTTGAGGATACATAGCAAAAAAAAAAAAAAAAACGAAGTCCCCTGTCCTCATGGAGCCAGGAAGACGGCCAGCCACAGCTAGATGCATAACGTAAAACTAGTTAGCGCTCACTGTGAAGAGAAGGACACCGGTGTGGGAGGTGCCTTTAGATCGGGTGACCAAGGCAGGGCGCTGGGGAGGCGGCGGGGCACGGACCTAGGAGGAAAAGGAGCACTTGCCCTGAAGGAAGAACCGTGCTGGTGACCCGCAGTCAGCGGACCCGGCCAAAGAAGACCGCGCCGACCCCTGGTCCGCGTCGGCCTCAGCCGGTGGGAGCAGACGGGTCTGGCCGTGCCCGCTGGGGAGCAGCCTGTCGGCCCGCAGCGCTGAGCGCACTAGCCGGGCAGTGTCTGCAAACGGGAGGAACGAAGGGGTTCAGGGAGCCGCCCTGTCTAACCGGGTCTCTCTCCCGTCCTGCACGAAGGCATTTGAGGAATGGAATAAGACGGAGCTGGACTCGTTCCTGATCGAAATCACAGCCAACATTCTCAAGTTCCAAGACAGCGATGGCACACACCTGCTGCCGAAAATCAGGGACAGCGCGGGGCAGAAGGGCACCGGGAAGTGGACCGCCATCTCGGCCCTGGAGTACGGCATGCCCGTCACCCTCATCGGTAACGTTCAGCCTTCCACCGAGCCCTTTGGTCTCACTCTTGACCTTGCCGGCCTTGGTGGAGACTGGCAGCTAAGAACCAGGTCTTTCATTAGAATCTGTTCAACCCTCGTCCGCTTTTAGGGTGCTTTCTACTCTTTCTACGTATGAAAAACTTAGTTGGAGAGAGGCTGAATCTGCTTTTGAATCTTTTCTTTTTAATCCGTAGTCATAGGAGCTTTGAGATAAATTGAAAGTTACTGTCTTGTTCAGCAATTTCATTTTTAAGTGATTTAATTATAGTCAGTGACCTAAATCTCTTTAATGGGCAAGGTAATTAATAGAATTTTTCTTACGAAAGTTTATAGAATAACATAAGCGTATGTACTCAGCACTTAATTTTGAACACTTTGCTGAGGTACCCCCCAAATATTTAAAAAGTAAATATACAAAAAGTAAAATATGTACATTTCAAGTGCCTAAATATTCTAAGTTTCTTCACCACTACTGTCCTGAACTGGGTGTATAATCCTCATTCATGTTTTCTACCTTATGTTAATAAACTAAGTATTAAACTCAAACACGCATATAGAGAAGGAAGTAATAAAAAGGAGAAATAACCACAGAAAACAAGTAATAAGGACTAACAAAATGACAAGTTGGTTCTTTAAGAATAAAATAGATAACTCCGATAAGATCGAAAAAAAGGTGCCTCTTATGTTTAATGAAAGGCTAATCTTGGTCTTGGCAGAATGGTCCCCCTGTAATAAAACAGAAGCTTTCTCGTTTGTTCTTCCAGATGCGAGTTGCCTCTCCAGCCCTAGGCTCCTCCTTCGATCTCCTCATTAATTATGACTCTTACCATGAGCCATGTGGTTGTAAGGCCCAGTCAGGGGGGAGGGAGGCTGCTTGGTCCCACACTGCATACAAGGAAGTTGGCTGCTTTTTCTGAGTGACACCAGAGGCAGGGGACCAAGGAGACAATGGTTGGGGGAAGTTTATTCGTTAGTGACTCAAATATGAGAGTATTACAGTCTCAAAAAGAACCCTGCTCTCATTTCGGGAGCTGCACCTTTCTACCAGCTGAAGGCAGGCTGGACCTGGTTCCTGGGTGGGCACATTTTTGTCTGCTGAGCTAATGGGGAAGTCGGCGTCCCAGCTAAGCCTGGGGTAACGCCGAGGGTTTCGCCATGCTTGCCTCCTTGCAACCAGTTCTTACGAAGCTTCCGCCCACAAATGCTAAGTCATGGTGTGCACTGCAGGAGCCACCGGAGCGCCTGGCAAGGGCACAAAGACACTGACTTTATTCTAGTTACATAAGTCATCTAGCAGGTAGTCTCTTATAAGGGATAATGTATGAAGATACTAAGTGTCTTAATAGTAAAATGCTATTTTGAAAGGTTTGTATTCAAATGAAGTCGAATCATGAAACTAACAGTGACCGTGGATGCACTGAGAACTAAACTAGGGGTGCACCTCGTTATTACACCCCGCTTCATTGCGCTTCACAGGTGTTGTGTTTTTTACAAATTGAAGGCAAGGCCCTCCCCCAGCCAAAAGATTCCGACTCACTTTATTGTCATACTTGCTTCATTTCGGCCGAGCCTGCGATATCTGAGCTATGCCGACCTGCGTAGGAGTTAGAAAATGTAGTGTTTTAAGGGTGAATCTGTAAGTGTTACTTCTCTATGTACTAGTTATTTCAAATTGATGGGTAGTTAGTGCGTCAAAGGAAAATAAATTGAGTCTTTGGTGAGGATTTAAAAATTAAAGTCCTCTCAGTTGAAATTGAAATTTTACTCATAGATCAACATCGAGTAATTCTGAGTAATAGTCATTTCACCGCTTCATTTTTCCCTCAAAACTCCCCTTTGAGTAAGTTTATGTTTGTGGTTGAAGCCCTGTATTTCTGTTGGAAGACCGACTCTCGGAGTTTTAATTATCAAATTAACTGTTTAGAATTTTTTCTAAAAGTTCTTTCTGATCCTGGTTAAATCTTGTGGACTATGGTTGAGTCTCTCAGCTCTTTATAAATTGAAAGTCTTGCTCTACTTCTGTTTTTCTGGGTACTCTTCTGGAATATATTATCTTCCCCGCAGGAGAAGCGGTCTTTGCTCGATGTTTATCATCTCTGAAGGACGAGAGGATTCAAGCTAGCAAAAAGCTGAAGGGTCCTCAGAAGATCCAGTTTAAAGGTGATAAGAAATCATTTCTGGAGGACATTCGAAAGGTGGGGCCCTGTCCCTGGCAGTAGCCATTGTTTGTCCCCTGAAAGGCAGTGGGGGGCGGGAGCCGTGCAGGAGAGCACACCAAGGCCACAGGGTTGGGGTGGAGCCCAGCCTCGCTCCCGGGTCTGATCTGCAGCCTTTGCCCCGCCCAGGTCCTTGCTGGGACCTGTGGTGAGTGCTGGGTAAGGCTCGTAGGCTCCAGGTGGTTACTTTGCTAATTGCAACTCTTCGTGTCATCCTTCAGGCCCTCTATGCTTCCAAGATCATCTCTTACGCTCAAGGCTTCATGCTGCTAAGACAGGCGGCCACTGAATTTGGCTGGACCCTCAACTATGGTGGCATCGCCTTGATGTGGAGGGGAGGCTGCATCATCAGGAGGTGAGTGATGGGAGGACGCGCCGCACTGCTGTGCCGGCGGCGGGGTCTTGGGCACTGCGGGAACAGGGTCCCTATAACCGGTGCAGTCAGCCCTCTCACCAGTACTCTGGGTGCCAAGACAGGGTTGGGTGCTCGCATCGCCTTCTTCCTGTACAGCTGTTGTCCTAAGGGGAGCGTCTCCGCTCCACCGTTTAGAGTAGTTCTGTGGGAACCACCGTGCCCTCGCCTTGCCTGCTGGGACTCCGGCTCTGTACCTTCACCGAGCATCCAGCTAGCTTTCAGGGCGAGAAGTGTGACTTGGTACCTCCCCAGGGCATACGTCGGCTTCCCACTTCCTTCCCTGCTTCCTGCCAGGCCCTCAGCCTGCTGCGCGTAGGTTATTGACTTCTCCCTCTTGATTGTCGCAGCGTGTTCCTAGGAAAGATCAAAGATGCGTTTGATCGAAACCCAGAACTTCAGAACCTGCTCCTGGATGACTTCTTTAAATCAGCCGTCGAAAATTGCCAGGTGCGTAGCCGGGAGCCGCTGGTACGGGGACTGTCTCGGTGGGCTTCACTCTGGGGCATCCATTTTCCACTTAGCAGCTCTGGGGCGGGTGGAAATCTGTCATTTCGATGGGGCCAGTTACCTTTCCGGTGGGCTTTGCTCTCGGCAGGAGTCCTGGCGGCGGGCAGTCAGCACGGGCGTCCAGGCGGGCATCCCCATGCCCTGCTTCACCACCGCGCTTTCTTTCTACGACGGGTACCGACACGAGATGCTGCCAGCCAACCTGATCCAGGTGAGCTCTGGGAGGACGTGGGAAGCGTTAGCCGGGCGGGCACCCGCGGGTGCGTGTCTCCACTGTTCCCTAACCAACCCCGTCTCTCGCTTTCTAGGCTCAGCGGGACTACTTTGGGGCTCACACCTATGAACTCTTAGCCAAACCGGGGAAGTTCATCCACACTAACTGGACAGGCCATGGCGGCAGCGTGTCATCCTCTTCATACAACGCCTAGATCAGAGCCGTCGTGTTACGCACCACGATTCCACAGACAAGGACATTCCGTTTGCCACACAGCACTGCTTACATGGCCCTTTGCCCTACTTTCTGCTCAGATCTTTTCAAATAAAGTGTCATAAGAGACTCCAAAAAAAGCCAGCCCGAGCTTACTTGTGAAGTAGTTCTCTGCCCTTGCCTCTTGGGACTGACCAGGAATTGGCCATGTGCGATAGCACACACCAGCTCCTTGAAGCAGCTACTTTCCACGTGTCCCCTGTGATGTCCCCGGTGGATTAGGGAGGCAGTAGGGAGGCAGTCTGTTTGCCCTGATGGAGGCAGCAGCTCTTATCACACAGAAGGGAGGGTATTTTTGGAATCTGATCACTGGAAACTTTGTATCATGCAGCTGAATTCTCTTTCTCCTCTAATCAATAAAAGCTACCTTATATTTATGCTTTTCCTCCGACTGTTAAATACTCTCACCTCAGTCACACGGAGTCGTTATCCACTGGCAGAAAGCTTTGCAACCACTTTCATTACATTTGAATCAGTTTGTTTCCTTCTAGCCTTAATTTTTCCCTCTTTATTTTCTTTCTAAAAGAGACTCAAGAATAATACAAGAACGAGGAGGCAGGGAGTGAGTGGACAGGGGACTTGAATGTGTCGGTTATTTTTTTTCTGAAGTTGGGCAATGGGTAGACGGATGCTCATTGTAACGTGTGCTTTTTTGTATTTCAAATATTTCATAATAAACATTTTAGAGAATTACATTTTAAACGATAGGCTCAGCTTGGCCTGGTTCATTCTCTTGCCCTTGTGTGTCTCCTGTTTGTCCCTAAGCTGGGCCCGTGGATTTAGTGCGGGATTTTTAGCAACCTAGGGCCTTTTCACGTGTATGATAGGTAGCTACTGACCGGTCCTGTCATACGGCCTGGTGCCCAGGGAGTTGCTTTTCTCTAGCAGCTCAATCCAGGAAGGGTTCCCCTTGGTGCTTTGAATCCCTACTGCCTACACAGCGCAAACAGCTCCCCTGTTTTAACAGCTAAGGTCTCAGTCTGACCTCTGACCTCTCAGAAGAATGCAGAGGGCCTGGGAGCAGAGGTGGGGATAATCCTTTTCATTAAATGATCAACTTTTTTAAGCTCTTAGCCCACTCAGAGTCCTTAGACCTGCCCCGATCAATCGCCCTCCTCTCCCGCCCCCACCTGTGAATTTAAGAGGCGCTGAGTCATGGCTCCTGGTTCAGAATTCTTTCCAAGGGTGGTGAAGCTCTAATGCAGTTCTTCTCATCTTTTGACCTCTTTCTCTGAGGCGGAGAGGTGCTTCTAGAATGGAGAGTGAGTTCCTTCAAAGACAATAGGAGCCGGAGGCTGTCCGAAGGAGGAGCCAGAACTTCAGCCTCAGCCTGTCATTCCAGAAGCTGCCATGAGGGGCAGACTTCTTCCCTCTACTTACTAGCTGTATGACTGGGCGAGTTATTTACTATCTCCGGTCTCAGTCTTCTCATTAGAAAAATGGGAATGATAAGGAGACCTGCCTCCTTAAGGCTATTTTGAAGATACACCAGTTAACAATAGACCAAGATCAGCGCCTGGCACATGATAAGCACCTCTGTAAATGACTATTATTACCACTTCAGGGTGTGTCTGTCCCTGAAGCAGTGCTATTTCTCACAGTCAAAAAACAGATGTGAGTCTACGGCCATGCCACCCTGAACAAGCCCGATCCCGTCTGATCTCAGATGCTAAGCAGGGTCACGCCTGGTTAGTAATTGGATGGGAGACCACCTAGGAAGACCAGGTACTGTAGGCGTGTAAAAAAAAAAAAAAGAATACCGGATTGTAAACTGGCAAAATCCTTGCGATCTGTGAGGTCAGCCAAGGGTTGCCTCGCCTAAAAAAAAAAAAAAAAAGAAGGATGTTCCATTTGCAGCGCCCAGCCTGATTTCACTTTGCAAACCAGCCCTCGGGAGGTTTGGGTGGGGCTCCCGTGCTGCACAGTTGGTGTGGTTCAGACAAACAGGCCAGCGGAGCTGGTCACTGTGTATACCCCCAACCACCCCTCACTCCCTGGGGACCTAGTAAAAGGCAGATTCTAATTCAGTGGGTCTTGAGGGGGTGGCCCACATCTTGCATTTCTAACAGGCTCCCAGGTGATGTCTGGCTGCTGGCCATTCTACAGGAGTGACGTGCTAGAGTACCATGGAACGTTATTTTAGAATTAAGAAATCAGAGTTAAATCCTAACTCTACTGTTTCCTGGCACTGCCACTTTGGGCAAGTATTTAAGTCCTCTGAGGTTCCATTTCTTTATCCGTAAAATGGGGCTAATTCCTTAGGTTATTGTGACAATAAATGAGGTTACATATATTGCACAGTATCTAGCATACAGTAAGGACATCATAAATGGAAGTTATTTTTATTGTTAAAAGAATATAACGGTCATTTGCCTAGGTCCTTGATAGGCAGACGTTTTTACTGTACATGCTTTTGTGCCTTTTGAATTTTACATCCCATGATTGACTTGAGAAATATGTCAGTTGAAAACTCCTCATTAGCTCTGGTAAAGGCAGCCCAGCCAACAGTGAGGAATCTGTGCTGTGGAATACTCCGCCTGGGCCCAAATCTAAGCTCCACCGCCAATTTGCTGCATTCCTTCAAGAGTGATTTACCCCCTGTGTCTGTGTACCTTCTCATCTCTAAAAAAGGGATGATAATATCTATCTCACAGAACTGTTTGGAGGATTAAACTCATGCCTGCCACAGTGAATGCTATTTAGGGTTTACTGTTTATTACCTACCTCCCGCTGAAGGTGAGGTAGGCGAAGGATTCTGGAAGTGGATGGAGGTCGATGGCGAGGGGTCCCGCCCCCTGCCAAGTCAGTCCTGTCCAGCCTAAGGCCAGAGGGACAATCTGGTGGCGATTCCAGCAGATTGTAGGCCTCTTATGACTTCAGGCTCTTCTTTCTGCTTTATTTGGGACACAAAAGAGTTCGTTATAAAGACATCTGGATCAAACAAGAGAGCAGTCGGGATTTCTCAGCAAAGACTTCAGGCTGGGGATTTGCAGGTGGTACATGTACGTGCTTTGAGGCAGATATGGAGCACATCTTTTTAGGAGGGGCAGAGGAGAACTTCAGAATAGATATATGGTCCTGTACTGCCTAATGACATTTAAGTCGATGAGAGACCACATATGCCACAGTGGTCATACAGCCTAGGTGTGCAGTAGGCTGTACTATCCAGGTTTGTGTAAGTGCGCTCTGTGATTTGTGCACAACAAAATTGCCTAAAAACATTTCTCAGAACGTACCCCCATCATTAAGAGGCACTTGCCTGTGTACCATGTTCTGTATATATGTTAGTAGACACATGTTCACTGTCTAGTAATCTTACATGCTGTTCCAGTTACTACTAAGTGGTACATAACAAACCACCCCAAATGCAGTGGTGTAATATAACCACCATTTCTGTTATTTTCATAATTCTGTTGGTTAGGAATTTGTACGGGCACGGGGGACAGCCTATCCTTGTTCCACAATGTCTGGGGCCTGAGCTAGGAAGACCTGAAAGCTGAGGGCCATTCCATGGCTGGGATCACTTGGCGGTGTCTGTCTTTTTCATCTATCTGGTGGTTGATGTTGGCTGTTGGCTGGGACCTCAGCTAGGACTATCTGCTGGAAAAGGTACAAGTGGCCTTATGGTGTGGCCTTGTGCTGCCTCACCACATGGTGGCCTTAGGCTCAGCAAATTTCTTAAATGGTGGTTCAGGGCTCCAAAAGGCAGTGTTCCAGCTAACAAAGTGAACGGAATGGTGCCTTCTAAGACCTAGCCATGGATGTCACAGCTGCATTATCCGAGGAGTGAGTCGTAAGCCCCCCAAATTCAAGGAGCAGAAGATTAGACTCTACCTCTTGATAGTGGAGTGGCGAGGTTCTAGAGGAGCAAGTGGATTAGGAGATATTGTTTTTGTTTTTGTTTTGGAAAATATAGTCTTCCACATGTGCACATGTGCTTTCCTTGAAAGGAGGAATTTGTTACATGGGGAGTCAGGAACTCTGGCTCAATTTAGGGATTTTTCCTGAGAGTCTCAAACGGTATAAACTGCACAAATATAATAGCTAACAGAGTGTGCACCAGCCACTGTTCTAAGTTCACTCTGTTAATACAATGCGCTCTGAAGTAAGTACTATTCTTATCCTCATTTCTTATCCTGAAGCATGTGAGTATTAAGTGACTTGTCCAAAGTCACATAGCTTCTGAAGAACTGGAATTTGAACCTTTGGCAATTGGTGCCAGAGTCCATGCACTTAATCATTAGATTGTCTTACTGCTCAGTGTGTACAGTTCATTTACTCATTGGCACATTTGCTGTATACCTACTACGTGCCACACACTGTGCCAGGTACCATTTGTCCAAGGGTGAGAGAAGTAAAAAATCTTGACCTCATTAGCTTATAAAATACATATAACAGCTAATGGAGATTGATTTTTGAATCGGCATTTTACAGTTCAATTTTAGGGAAAATAAATATCTGCTCTTGAACTATATATTTATGATACCCTATTTAGTGCAGGTGAAAAGGATTCAGGAAACCGGCCAATGTTCTTGTTTATGGTGAGGGCAGTGGGATGAGAACAAAGGATAGGGACTCAGAAACCAGGCTGCTTCTGGTCAAATCTGGACCCTACCACTTTCTAGCAGTTCAAACCTCGGACAACGTTCTTTTATCTCTGTGACCCTGCTCCCTCCCTCACATATAAAATAAGGGTAATAGAACCCATGTCTGGGTGCAGATGAAATATAAAATTGGCGCCTAGAACAAAGCTAGGAGCATAAGCTCTGCGTGATTTCAATGATTACCAGTAGCAGGACCCGCCTTGTTTCCTGCCCGGCACAAGGCTGACATCTGGTGGCCACCGCCCAGGAAAAGTAGTTCCAACCATAATAATTTTCTGTAATGTAACGCCTCGGCCCGGGACCTCTCTTCAGACTCTAAAGTGCCAAGAGTGAAGTTGAGAAGGTGGGAAATAACTGGAGAAGGTTCGGAAGCAGTAAAGACCCAAAGTTGGGGTTCATTTGCTGATGGCAACGAGGCGAGCGACGTATTCGTTGAATGGGATAGTAATCGAGCATCTGTCCGTAGTCTCATTCTGTGACACCACTGTTGGTGGCAGAGTTATAAAAACTCAGTGGATTTTCCAAGGCATGCGGACGTTAGAGCTGTATGGAAGTTATAATAAAGAATGTTGGTCCCTACACACCCACGCACACCCACTCCTCCCGAGCGCTGGTGTTAACCCACTGCCAGGCACTGAGCTGGGTCTGGGGTCCACGGGGAGCTGGGCTTGGGTGGTCCGGCCCCCTCGGGGAGAAAAGCCCGGGAGGGGCAGGAGCAGACGGGCCGCGAAGGGCCCTTCCCCGAGCGGACGCTGGGGGGCGCGCGCGCGCGCGCGGCAGCGTGAAGCGCGCGCTTTGTCCCTCCGCGCGGCCCGTCGTCGGGCGCCGCGGCGGGAAAATCTGAGTGCGCCGTCGCGGTCGCTCTCTTTATGAGCTCGCACGCCTGCTTGGGGCGGCCGCCGGGATGGAGGAAGACGAGGGGACTGATGAGCAGCAGCAATTCTCCTATCAACAGGTAGAGGAGAACCGCGTCCCGGCTGGGCTGGGGGAGGACGGCGCCGAGTCTCTGGACAGGAAAAGCCCCGGGGGCCCCGGCCGGGCTTCGCCGCGGTGCCCGCGTCCCGCGGACGGGGGGCGCTCCCACGCCGACTCAGCTGCCGCGGGGGGTGCTGGGAGGCGGTTTCCACGGTAACGCGGGTCGGAGGGAGATTCGGGGGAGGGGAAGGCGCGCTCGGGCGTCTGGCGGCGGGGCCTCGCCGTGCGGCTTTGTGACGTCCTCATTCTCCCTTCTGCGACAGGGTGGTCGTGAGGGTGCGGGGTGAGCGTCACAGGGAATGCAGCCGCAGCGTCAAACGGCGTGCCGGGCACGTGGCGCGAGCTCCAACACGCTGGCGGCCGTAAGCGGCGCGCTCCGTCCGGCAGACAGGAGGCGGCCTCCGGGCCTGGGTGCAGACCCGCGCCGTCCTGTGCCGGAGCCATCCTCCCGGCGCGGGTTCGCATCTGGGCTCCGCAGCCGCAGGGGCGCCTTGACTGCCCACACTCAGTATTTGTATACGGAAAATTGGAGTGGTAATAACCTCTCGTCGCGGTTGTCGCGCGTGTTCAGCCCTCCCTGTCATCAGCGGCGGGAATAAATGGCGTGGCGGAGTCCCGAGAGCGTAACAGCGCTGTAAAGAGGTGAAAAGCAAGAACCAGGTGACAGCCTCGAAGAGAGTTAACTGGAGAGACATGTGAATGAGCTGGGGAGTTTTCTTCCTACGAAGTGTTACATTTCCTCTCCCTTTATTTTGAGAAGTTCAAGCCAGTTGTTAACATTTTGGTGTTTTTGCTCCCTTGCTCCTTTTTTTCTGAATTAATTGCAAATATCTTGATACTTTGCCTTTCCATTTTACTATTTTAGTATGCATCTCCCAAGAACTGGGGCATCCTCCAGCATCCTCTCCATGATCACACGCAGGAAGTTTCACATTGATAAGATTCTATTATCTAATGTTCAGTCCATATTCAAATTTGCCGAGTTGTCCCAACGGTGTTTCTTTTGCTGGTCTTTTTTCCTTGATCCAGGACCCAGTCAAGGATCCTGCAGTTGCCCTCAGTCCTGTCTCTTTGTCCTTTCCTGGAACAGGTTCTAGTACAGAGCCTGGCTCTCAGTAAGCAATAAATGCTTATTGATTAAATGAGTAAGGCTGCAAAGATGGCTGAGAAATTTGAACTTCATTTTCTGTGCAGTGGTTGAGGATCATTCATTCAACCAGCTGTTCTTGGCACTAGATGGATAGTAGTGACTGAAACTGACGGGTCCTGTCCTTGAGGAATATAGGGTTGTGATTTAGCCTCTAAGTGTCTGCGGAATTGAAGAGGGCCCCTCGCCCGGTCCAGGAGGCTCACAGAAGGAGGAGGGACAGAGAAAAGTTCAGGAGCATTCAGAAGCATCCCTGTCCTTTTCCCACCCCTGTTCCCCGGCACACACCTAAAAAGGATGATCCAGAGAGTCTTTATCCCTCCCAGAGTAAGGGTCCCTTTGTCTCCTCCTACCAAAGGCCTCAGCTTACCTAGTCTTGTGAGGTCTGAAACTAAGGAAGGGCGGTTGGTGCCTGGCTTGCTGCCTGGCCTCTACGCCGGGGTCCTGGACTTGTCTTCTTGCAGTCCCTCCTCCTGTTGCCTCTGCTGTGAACATTGCTGGTACAGTTCAGTTTATGCTGTCTTGGGTTCAGCTGTCGTCATGTCCCGTTCAGCTCTCTAGCACAGAGACGGAGTCTACACAGGGGCTCAGCAGTTCGTTGACATGAGATTGAGACCTTGGCTTCGCTTGTGTTGCTTTTTTACTCCTCTGCGTGGGGAGGAGAGGCGTTTCCTAACATCTAAAAGGGTTGCTAAGGAGCTATTAGGGTCCTGCTGAGGTGGGCCAGCAACCCAGCCCCTCTGGTGTCCTGATTAATTTACCTTTCATCACTTATAGGCATGGGGCTGGCAGGGACTTTAGCAGAGGGGCTGGGTCCTTTTGCATTTATTTGATTAACCCCCATCAGGATGCAAAATCCTTGTCTGTTTTTTCATGGTGTCTTCCAAACTCCTAGCATGTGCCTTTACTCTGTGGGAACTTGGCACGTATTTGTGGATTAACAAAGTCACAGAGATACTTTGCAAGTGCCATCCGACTTCTCTCCCCGCTGACCTGCCATCATAATTCTTATCTTTACTTGACCTAAATCATAACCATTAACCAGGAAGTAATGTTTCTACAAGTCACACTCCAGAGGGCCTCATTAATTTATTAGTACACGGGAGAAGTCACTGAGCAGGCCCTCTCTTTGGTCTTAATTTTTTAAGATGCGAAGAGCTGTTATTTGCAACCTCTCCTATGTGGTATTTTGATTTTCGCTTCAGAGGCTGAAGGCAGCGGTCCACTACACTGTGGGCTGTCTTTGCGAGGAGGTGGCCTCAGACAAGGAGGTGCAGTTCAGCAAACAGACCATCGCCGCGATCTCGGAGGTGACCTTCCGACAGTGTGGTATGGAGCCCGGCCTTCCTGCATACGTATAGAAGCCCCAAAGGTTGATTTTGCCTGGGAGAAATGCGTGGGTGGGCGCCGTGTCGGGTCTCACCGCCAGACAGAACACTGTCACTGGACACCGTTCGTGACACAGTCCTTTTCTTGGCTGTCCGATTTGGATATTTTATGGAAGGAGCTATTTTTTTCCATTACACTAACACTGGGACATTAGCACCTTTACTTTATTGTTTTAAACTGCCTGGAACATTAGACATTAAATTTTTTATTTCATTGCTTTATAACATTTTTATATCACTCACAGTTTATTTGACAGTTGAACTTGTGGCATTGGTATTTGCTTGACTTCACAGGAAATTAATGTCCTTGCAAGCCCTAATTTGTAGCAAAATTTAAAGTTAAGGGGTAGTTTCTAGAAATGAAAGGTGTAGCCACAGTTACCAGAAAGCTCGTGATAAAGGGTCAAGGGTGCCAGGGAGGACAAGGTGGTCGGTCATAATCAAATGGCTGAAGGCACCTGTGCAGTGATGGGGCTGCCTGAAGTGGCTCCCTGTCGCCTTTTAAAGGGCTTTGTGATGTTAGTCACTGCACTCACTGCAGAATTTGCGACTTCTGAAATAAGATTGAGATGAGGGTAGCTAAAGCACATCTCTTTTTCTCTTTCAGAAAATTTTGCCAAAGACCTCGAAATGTTTGCAAGGTGGGTGAAGAGCGTGATTGTCTGATGCCCTGTTTGCATGCGTTCTGACACTCCATCTGGCGGTGCACTTCTGGAGAGCTTTAGCTAGTCGTTTTTGTTTTTTTTGTATTTTGTGGAGGCTCATCTCTAATTACGATTCCGCAAGAATATAACATCTGCTTTAATCACGTCCATTCAGACTTGATTTGGCATTTTTTGAAGTTTTCCAAGTATTTTTTTAAGAGAACTGAAGTTATTCAGTTTCAGGCTAAAAAGACATGAATAACGTCTCTAGGACTTTGAATATGCGAGGCGTGCGTGCTTTTCAGGCCATTTCTCCGGGATGGTGTGATGCCAGGGTGTGGGCCCCGCGCCCAAAGCTGGGCTGCACTGTGCTCCAGGCGCTGATTGCTGGCAGGTGGCCGGATAATGACAGCAGGCGTCCACATCAGGCTTGCATTTGCCGCGTTTGTTCTGAGACATACACTCCTTGAAAAGAGGGTGACTTGCTTTCAGCTGGTAAAGCTTTAGCTTTTACAGGAGATTTATGTTCATCTCTTCAATTAGCACCTCAGGTAATTGAAAACAATTGCAGCGAATTGCTTTTATGAAGCAATCTGAATGACTAAAGCCTGAAAGGACTAAAGCTTTCTAATTTGCTACCACTTGTGATTTGGTGCCAGCCTCTCCCACACCCCATACTTTTCACCTTGCTCCTATTAGCTCTTTGTTTCTCGGGTGAATGTTTTGAATGAATTAAAGCAGTAGGTTCTCAGAGGGCAGGCTCTAAATCTTTCTATTCCTGTATATATGAGTCCCTAAAAACTGCTTAGCATCTTCGACTTGGCCAAAAGGGATAAGATAATATTATGGGATACTGATAGCTCATATGGTTTATTCATTGTTAAGTCGGGTGGTTGCCCCTTACGTGTGGCCCATTATCCCCCCACCCCCTATATCTCCTGTAAAATAAGTTTATTACGTTTGTTTGCCATTTCTTCTTTTTTTTTGGAAAATACAACTGTTTTATTACAAAGAGAGACACAAAATGTAAATACTTAGACGATTATTTGATTGGAACATAAAGTTTTATCAATATAGAGCCAAGTTTCTCCACCTCAGTACTATCAATATTTTAGACTGGATTGTTCTTTGTGAGGAGGCTGTTCTGTGCATTGTAGGATGTGTATTGGCATCTCAGGCCTTTGCTCACCAGTTGTGACTTTATTTTTTGCTATTTCTGTGTTAGCTATGAGAAAAAAACATTTTTAAATGCTTCTGCAAAAATACTAGAAACAAAAATGAAATTAAACATGTTTAACGTCGTAGTACATTAAGCTTTCAGGTACTCTAATGTGTTTTTTTATAATCACTTTAAAAGGTTGATTTTCTTTTGCTGTGTACTGGGGGAGAAATGGTGTGTGTGTGTGTGTCACTTAGACTATAAGTTCCACGAGGAAGGACATCATCATCTGTGTAAAGGCTGTCAGCTGCTGCCCTCTGAGTGAGACCGTCTGAGGCTTCACTCACTGTGAGAGCTGCCTCATGTACTGTGTCCAGGCGCGTGCTCCACTGCTGCTCCAGCTTCCGCCCGAGAACCCTAAGTGAATGCAAGAGCAGATTTTCTTCGAAGACTCATTCTTTGTCTTAATTTTATGTTGGTTTTTATAGTATTGCAGTTTGCTCCCACATAAAAAAATTGTGTTTTAAAGTTTATCACCGAATAAAATTGATAGTCTCAGAAGGTCAACTTTGTTTATCCTGTGGCTTTGAGTTCTCCCTGTCACCCAGTCTCTACTAGGACTATGGTTACTTTGAGAAATCTGAAATATGTACTGTTTCAGGTTAACTATTTGGTAAATAGTCTTTGTAGGTGGGCTGGGAACCTAACCGGTGTTTGTGACCTTGTTTCTATGACAAAATACAGTCCACATAATCAATTCATCTGTAAACTTTAGAAAATCATCTCTCGATTTAAGTTACGAATTTCCCTTATTTAGCTTTGAACTCTCTAGTCCCTTAATACTGTTAATATGTTAAAGATGAAACATTTTAAAGAAGATAAATTCTCTATAGTAAATAAATTCTAAGAACATTTTGAGGATAACCTTTAAAACCTGTGTTGCTAAAACTGTTGCACGACAAATTGCTTTGTTATTTTCCCTAGAGTAATTTTCTGGAGTCAGGTTTGGTATCGGAGAGTCTGATGTGCAGTGGCTGGCCGCGAATATACCCGCCCCTGCGTCTAGGAAAGCATTCACGTTAAATACGGTGCCGAGATACCAGACGACAAGCCGCGTGGTAGAGAAGGCCAGCTTTGTTGTTTCCAGATGCTGCTTTGTGAACGCATGAGCTCGCCTCGCTGCGTCAGTGTGCTGCTTTTGCTCCTCTAGCGCGCTTTCTGAAGAACGCGGACTCCGACAGAGCAGCCTGACGGTGTGATCGAGGCGAGGCCACACTGTGTCCGCACATCCCCCGCCTGTGACGTCTGGACTGGCTTCTTGCTTTGTGGCTACTGTTATTGTATCACCTTCTGTCTGACTTTGCCCCCCTCTTTATCCTGGTCTTTGCAGGTGGCTAATTAGAAGTATCTCCTAAAATGGATATTATCTCAGGGCAGGCCAATATTGTCAACCATGATGAGAGGACACGTGATATTTGCACATTTAGCAGGATGTGAAGGATTAATTTGGCCAAATGATGAAGTATAATTTCAGTGTGACTTTAACTCAACAGATATTCAGTATGGATCTACTACGTGCTGGCCACTTTGCTGGTTATTAAGGCTACAAGGATTCCTATCTATTCCTTCATACAGAATTCCTGCTTATCATTGGAGGATGTTAGAAATGCCAAGAAAGGGTGTAATTAGAGTAATAAATTATTGAATAGAGCTTATCTCAAATACCTTTTAAAGTAAAGATGATAGGACTGGAATGAGAATTCGAGTCCATGTTATGAACAAGAAACCAGGTTCCTGTTTAAAGGACAGTCTTTGTTCTAACCGGGCGGGCTTAGAACTCCTCGTTGGCAAACTGGTGTTTGAAGGCATGCACATAAGCCTTGTCCTGTAATTCAGCCCTCAGAGTGAGCTTCAGGGTCTTGGCCTAGGTGAAGCCAGGCCTCATGGAAATTCTTTGTTCTTCTGTTTAAGGTCTCTTAAGCAGAGGTGATCGTATCGGGAGACCACCGTTTTCTATTTTCACTAAAAGTGCACGGTGACCTTGCTTTTTCTCTGGTGTTCGCTGTGACCATTGTGACCAAGCAAGTCCCTTCAGAAGATTTAACGCTTCAGACTGTTCTGTTCTTGTATTCTTCAGGCACCCTTGGCCCTCGGTGGAGGTGTTCAGATGGGGCTTCTGCGTTTTCTTGGTCTCTCTATTTAATTGGTACCTTGGCTAGTCACTTCGTTCATTTTTGCGTCACTGTTGCTTAATGACCTTAATCTGAAAAGATGGGCTACTTAGAGATCCTTACTAGCCTGAAGTCTGACCATGAACTTTGGTGTTTCATCAAAACTTTAAATAATACCAAACATTTTGGTGAATTGTCTCTGCCCTTTCTACAGACACGCGAAAAGAAGCACAATTAACACCGAAGATGTGAAGCTCTTAGCCAGGAGGAGTAATTCACTGGTGAGAGATGAGTTTCTTCCCTCGCCCCCCTTTCCCATCAGAATACATTATTCCCAGTTAATCACTTGCAGCCATGAAGTGATTCCCCAGGGCACCTTGCATTAAAAACGAGAGATAGTTGAACCGTTCAGACCTGCCCGTAATTTATAGTCTTTCTTTCATTATGATGGATCTTGCCAAGCCAATTTGAAATTTTCTAATCAGCACTCTCTGGTTTTCATAGTTTGCCTTTTTTGTTATATCTCAAAACTTTGGTCCCGTGTTTCATTTACAGCACGATGTCACAGACAGGTCACAGGCCAGAGTGTATGGGGATAGTTTCATTACGGTGCCCACAGTTTTCCTGAGGGGCCAGATAGGGAAGCAGTATCTGTACAGTTGGGATGGGAAGGACATTTTCTACCTTTTCAAAGAAGTCTAGAGGTCATCTTGACCCAGCCCTCATTTGACAGGTGATGCTGTGATCTCCCTAGGCTAGTGGCTGTGTCCAGTGGCAGATTCAGGATGCCTGAGGTTTCCTGACCAAGTCTGATCCTAGCAGTTACAATACTTGTTTCTCCCTGTTATGTGAGTGCCACGAGGGCAGGATTTTTGTCTCCTTCTCTGCTCCATCCATTGTGCCTAGAATAGGGCCTGGCACGCAGTAGGTGCTCGGTACGTAGTTGTTGAAGGAATGAATTTGTAAAGTGATTGGCAATTACAGGGGGCTTTTGTAAATATTTTATGTATATTATCGAAACCTCACAACCACCTTATAAAGGTTTTTAATAACACGACTTAACTAGCCCATTTTACAGACTAGGCAACTGGAGTTAGTAACTTTCCAAAGGTAAATATGAAGCCCCGTGGTTGACAGCTGAACCTTGACCTTCTAACCCTGAATCTACTGCCGTTTCTACAAGGCTCTTTTATGCTTTTGCTCTTCTAACATCCTCCAAAGTTTAAACCAAGGTTAAGGATAATATGATTCCTAAGTAAAATAGCTAAGCTGCCTGATGGTGCTCTGTGTCCGTGGAAACGACATTTCTCTCCTCATAAATCTGTGTTGTAACTTTCTTTTGCAAAGGAATAGTCAGTGCACGTCCTCTTAGAATATTAATTGTGAAGACCTCTGCAAATATTGTTTTTATTTTGGACTCAGTTTTTTTTTTTTCATTAGAAGCTTTGTTACTGAAGATTTGCAGCTAAAGTTGTACATTTGCTAAATCCTCCCTCGGGGTAGGGGCCTCGTCTTAATACCCTATGTCCCTCGTATCTGGTACATAGTAGTTGCTCAACGATTTGCCGGACAGTGCCTGCCTCGGCAGCACATGGACTAAAACTGGAACGATGCCGAGTTGATTAGCACGGCCCCTGTGCAAGGATGACACGCAAATTTGTGAAGCATTCAACCCCTCCCCCCACCCACCCACCCCCG